GGAAACGATGCGATACGGTAGCGATGCACGGCCGATCATCGATTTCAACGAGTTCCACGTACATCGAGGTATCGCAAGGAATCCGTAAGTAACGCTGCGAATGGAAGATCGATGGAAAGAAGAAGGTGCTTTCACGATCGATGCTAACTGTTCGTTTTAAAAGAAAAACCTGATAAATGTTTATTAAGCCGCCGGCTAACGAGTGACTTTTTGCGCTCGGATCAGATAACCGATCTTTTTCTAATAAAAATCTACATAACGGCGTCGAGAGCTACCGAAGCGTTCGATTTTCTAAAGAATTCTGATCCCTGCGACTGCCAATCAATTAACCGGCAATTGATCCTCGAATAGAAATTACCGATTTCGGAAGGAAAAGAAAAGCCGATCAATTATACGAAAGATAATCTTACGCCACAAGCGTGAGCCATTAATCAAAAGCGTTTAACGCTAAAGGAGTAAAAGTAAAAAGAGGTTCAAGCGTTTTATCGTGCGAAAGTATCGAGCAACCAGCTCATTGTTGCGTAGTAATTTTATTTCAAGGCATCCTCCTCTCATCGAGTGTACGAGCTCGAGATATACGAGCTACGTCTTCATCTCGAAACAAGCAACCACAGGCAAAGTATTCCGCAAAAACGTGAGCAGGAACACTTTTCGATTCAATTATTTTGCCTTGTATCCCCATCGTTCCTTACGGGCACGGCTATACGTATCCTTTGTCTGCCGGTGTAGCCGTTCCGATCGTCGAGCACCTAAACACGTTCTTCGTGCCTACGAAGCGCGGCCGATCCAAAGTATGCATTATCTCTTAGCCTGGAGCAGCGAGAAGCGGCAGTCTAGCATGTATATAGACGAGCAAAAAGCTCAACCAATCAAACGCGCGCCCTTTTTCCTGTCACCGACAACCTTGAAATTTTCTCCAAATGACTTTCCTTTCACGATCTGACATCGATAAGTGTAATCTCTACAACACAAATTTTGTTCCTTCGATTCTGCTGCAACCCGTATTACTTCAACTCGAATTTGCCACCTGTCTGACTTACTGCTGCACTCGATTTCAGTATAGTCAGATCATAAGTCGAAGTAATTTTTAAAAAAATGTTAAAAATTGACCATCAGTATCTTCTTTCCTTGGATAGTTATATTTAAAAAATTATTAATCATTGAACAAAGCATCTGTGTAGCAAATTTTTGTTTGCAATTCTTCTTCGATTGAAAACTCGCGATAAGTTGAAATCTCTATAATTCGAAAGTTTTAGCTCTTCCCTCGAGCTTCGAGTTACCGAGGTTCGACTGTATTTAACGTTCTTATTTATAGCACCGTCGATAAAGTATTCTCATTTTTCTGATCACTATCATGCATTCCTTCTCATTTCTTTCGCCTCAAAATTGATACGATCTTGATTTCTTTCCCGCCATAATCAGGAGAACCTTGAATTCCTTAGCATCATAATCAGCAGAATCTCGATGCCTTTCGCGCCAAAATCAGTTGCACTTAGAATCCTGTCGTGGTAGAGTTAGCACAAGCTTAACTCAATTCCTGCCAAAATTGATTTTAATTCCCTTCAAACTAGTATGGTTTTAATTGTTTTCGCGCCAAAATTAGAGCTTCATTTCCTTCCATTTTGTTCGCATGATAACGAAGTGTTAAGGTTACAATTTTATTTTCTTTTTCCCCGTGAAACGTCACGTTACCGTGGGAACGCGATCAATATGAATTAGCGACACGATGTTTTCGGCAGTGATCTCAGAAACATGTAATTGATAAACAGCCGTTAAACGACCAGGTTTCATAGGAAAGGGATTAATCCACGCAGCAAGGGCGATAACTCCTCGTCGTCCCGCATGAAATTTGCAAAACAGGGAGGTAGCGTGGTGGAGTGTTGTCGGTGTGTAAAACCAAACTATAGCCAGTCGGACGTACATGCGAACAGCTCGTCCATCAAATTGAGAACCCTAGTAGGTAACGGGTGAACGTGTTGCGCTCGCGATCATCGCATGTGTGCCTTTCTTGCGCGCGCGTTACGCGCAGCTCACGTTCCTCCGCTTCTTTTTCTCTCTTTACCCCAACAGCTCTCGTAGACGCGAATAAACCATCGCTATTGTTTACCGGCACCGTGTCGCCTTCGTTCTCTGGACGAAGACGTTTCGCACAGGTACACGCGGTTCGTCGTCCGCGGATTATTTCCTTACGTATGGTCCCGGCTACACGTGTACTCGCACGGGATATCGGTGTGCAACATCTTGTAGCCGTTAATCGCGCATGTCCAGTTTCCGTCTCGCTGGAAATACTTTTACACACTTGTCTTTGATAACTGATCCCCAACCAATCACCTCCTCGGATCACGTCTGCTAATAATCAATATACTATCGAGTGCTCTGTGCATTAATTCTTTGACATGTTCTGCAACTTGCATCAAATAGTATTAGTCTTGTCAAACATGAAACAGCAGATCATCATTCATGAAGAAAACGGAAATGTTTTTCGCAATTTCTTATTGCAGCTTATGTTCGGTATCTCCTTAGTTCAACAATATTTGGTAAATCGTTCGGTGTAACTCTCTCTTGAGAGTTGTACGTATACATTTTATTATAGAAGACAGTTATCAAGATGTTTTCTATGTAATCTCCTGAATACGTCGACTGAATATAGGCTTCTGGTCATAGATTAAGGTCATTGCCTCCATTTTACATTTGTTGACAAGTAGAAATACTGAATTCTTTTAGTGTACATGGCGATAACTAAATTGCTTCGTTAGTTTTCATTTGAATACCGTCAGGATTAGAATCCTCGGTAATTTCTCGAAGGAGTAACAAGTGGAACGTTTGCCGATAGTAGGCTTATCTGAAATAGGCAAACGCAGAAAGATGTTTTCACAAAGCGTGCTAATTGGCATACGCTGACGGTGCACTTAGAAGAACGCTTTTTGAGATAATTCGAGTAAGCAGTGGTCAGAGATAATCAAGGTATTAATGCACTTCGACTCCCTTCTGTTAGCCCTAATGGCGACTATGAAACGGAAAAACACGCACTTCCCAGATAAACGCGATAATACGTGGCAGCATTTTTATGTGTCACGGTAAGTGATCGAAATAATGTTGAGGCAGTAACCAGTGTTAGATCGTATCAAACGAATCCGCCTTTTCTTTTTTTTAATGCGAGTAAAACGCGCTTTCGAGCCCGCCGACCGATCCGGTTCGACCGATCGCGTGAAATAACATTTTAAGCGTGCTTGCGAGTTGTCTGATGAAAAAGAAAAACGCGCGACAGGATATAAGTGATTCCGTCGATCAGAAATTACGCTTTCATGCAGTGAATATCCCGGGCACCCGGTGATTAGTACCCTCTGCGGTTTTCGCGTTATAACGCACCGAAATATAAAAAGTGATCGAGACTCTCGGTTTCGCGAGGGAATTATGCAAATTGCGAGTAACCTGAAATACATTTTGATCGATGTTTACAATTATTTTTAATGACACGGTTCTACGGTATTTTTTCTCACTGTGCACCATTTAGTGTGACCTCGTTATCTGTTTCAATCTCTCTCTGTTTTCAACTGTGTTTCGCAAAGATTTCATAAAAATTATTTGCTTCTTTTGCTGACGAAATCAATTGGGAATTATGCCTTGTTCTTTTTTAAACGCAATTCTTTTATTGCTTTAGATCTGGGACTCGATAAGAAAATTCGATACGCTATGAAACTACGAAAGAACTAATTCTAGAAAAAGTTCCTTGGGATTAAAAATTGAAGTGAACGGTAAATAAATATTGGCGTCAAATTATAATTTCTAATTCATATTACACATCTACCTTCTTTCTTAATCTAAAGAGAACGATATTCTATAATATTATACCACGTGCCATGGTATAAAAATAAGACAATTTTTATATAACTGATTGAAATCAAATATCAATTCTACAATAATTATGAGTCATTAACTTGAAACACAGAAGATTAAGATCAACCAACATCATTCTAATTCAACATAAACTATATACTATACTGATAATACAGCAACCATTGGTTTCTTAATTAGTCAGCTTGATTGCGTACGAAAACAAGTGTACCCATGATTTGTCAACCATGTGTTAACATTCAAAGCGTGTAGAAATATTGGGACACTAAGTATGCTACATTATTCAAAGAGTACAAATACTACCAACAGCGTTTAACAACGAGGTTGTGTGACGTTACTTTGTGACGAGGTACAGACACACACGCCATACCGAAACCGAAACAACGAAGCAACTTCGAGTACGAAATTCTGTTACATTCACCATAACACCCGGAGATTTATATCCTGCGGATTGGATTACAGCGTTCCGCCATTTAAACACTTTTTCCAAACAAATCGCGTTTGCTAGATATGCAGCTCGAAAAATATGTATCTCCTTTCTCTATATTCGCAAGCTTTCACATTCTATAATTTTATGTGAAGTCTGTGAAAACAATCTCGACTTTATTAATTAAACTTAAATAATTTTGAAATGTTCATTACAAGTTAGAAATAAATTTTCCTGCTTCGAAAATGTATGTAATTTTTCTGAGTACTTTTGAATCAATTATAATTGTGCTAACTCAACCAGTGTTCCTAAGTCCCTTGTTATAATAAATTATTCCATCGTATATTTGCAAATCTGTCCAGTCAAAACTACCGAACATAAAAATGTATAGTCATGACAGAAACTTTTAACCCAGTTTCGCTTATACAAACTATGCGAAACTTTAAACGACAGAGAAGGTGTTAACCCGAAGGGAGCTATTCGAAATTGATGAAGTCGAAGATGGCAGACGATACCGTGTTGAAATGTATTTAAGGAATTCGATGATCCGAAGGTGCGAAGCAGTCCCGGTCGAATGCGAAGGGCCACGTAATTTCCAGGGACCCGAATGTTTTTCGAGCGAACAGTACGCAGAAGCGGCGGGCGTGGAGAAGGGAAAAGGGCGTAGTAAGTCATACAGAGAGGCTCGTACGTCATCCTCCATCCGGGCCAACGGAGCAACACATGGAAAAGGGTCTGTGGAGTCTCCGTGCAACGCACCTACTTGGCTTGCCTCTTTAGGTCGCGATGCACTGGTGTTCGCGCCCAAACACGCATACACACACCTGTACTCCGACACACGCATACACGCACACGTGATACACGCGTTTCGCTCGTCCGTACACCTTTATTGGTAGAAGAGGTTGAACCACTCGGTCACGGGTGTACAACACGCACGCCTATATTCGAAACGCGGCTTCACGATCCGATCTTTTCAATTTTCCGATAGTAAATTAACGCCCTAAACGGTTCAACAACATCGCTGCCGAGTGTACGCGAGAACAGCGCAGCCGGAAACACCGATCAGATATCAAGATGGAAAGTTCCCTCGGCCATGTTCGTCAGCCATTCAGGTATACTTCAAAAAACGTGTACAGTGAGTGATCTGATTGTTATGAATGTAAGAAAGTTAGTTGATCGAAGTCTGAGCGGGAATCACACATTTATCTTTTAGGAACATTATGAAATTTGACTTTCTTAATGTTAAATTTATGTTTTTACTGAAAATTGAACGGTATATTTTATTCGAGAGTTTCGTATGAGGCTGTTGTACATCAAAAATCTACATAAAATACATGTTAAATATTATATTGCGATATTATTGTACTTGGGGGTTAAACAAAAATTTTTATCGAGTAAGAAGTGTTTTTAATAACAAAGTTACAATTTTTATAGGTCATCAACATCAAACCTGTCGCAAACAAACATTCATAAAATGGCAGTTTGCCACAAACGTTTGTTGTGCACTAAAAATAAAACAGCGTTAGCGATATGGCAGAATATAACCAAGCTACCTATCTACATGTTAAAAATAATAAACAGAGGTATAATTTACTAGCACAAGTCGTATCATGAAGACCATGTGATTTGTTTCGGCCGATCATGATAATTTAATGGCTCACTATAATTCCAGCCTAGGACTGATCATTAATTATTTCTTTCCAGACTCAAATTAACGAACAAGAACGAAAAATGGAAGGGAGGGAGCAGTTTACGAAGAACCCGTGTATAGTTTGTCGAGGTAATTAGAAGCTCGCGTGAAATGAATCTGTAAAAACGGTCGGCACTGCCATAAATGATTTGTACAATGAACTTGCACGTGTTTCTGTTGCAGCTAAACATTTCCCCCTGGTTGAACCGCACACGAAGACGCGGAACGATCTTGGGTCGATACACACGAAAGATACGCGCTCTGTATTACCGACGAGGCTCACAGCGACGATAGCGGCAAGCGTGGAAGCACATAAGGAGGTGGGGTTAAACGAGCCGAGCCACGATTTCGTCGTCGTAAACGTCAACGTTACGGTTACAGCGTTGTTCCTAGCTGGTTTATATTGAACGAGCTTGCTCCCCGAGGTACGTAACACCTACTGGCAAACCGTCGTATCGTCGAGTAGCACCATACTCGTTTCCAACTCGACAGAATGTGGCGGGAGAGACCACGTGGCTTTTACGCGGGAACCTCCTCTCGACGATTCGACACTACCACCACGCAGAGTTCAAGGTTTGTTGCCTCTATCCTTTTCGTACACTCAACCGAGTTTAGAACGATTGGCGTAACCACGCGATACGAGTACGAATAAATTGAAAAAATTATATCAATTACACAGCGAATTAATTAATGCCCAACTCTCCTACATCCTTTTGACGAGACAATGATTCCCAAAGATTTTTGGCGGTCTACTCAAATATAAAATCTGACAAGTAATATATTGATATTTTTTCATTGAACCATCCTTTCCTTTTGAACAGAACATCGAAACTTAGGAATATTTAGATATCAGAATTTTAAGCTTTTGAAGCTTTGAAACTTCGGAATTCTTTAATTTCAAGGCTTTGGAAAATAATGCATTGCACAAGCGTTATCCTACTTCGCTTACTATGCATATGAAATAGTTTATATCGTTTCTGATAAGCTACACACGAACAATTCTCAAACATGAAGAATTCCAGTACCATCAACGAAAATCGACACCTATGATTGTTACATTGTACACTGCATAAATTATAGTAATATATGCACCATTACATGAGAACCGCAGCCATAAACGAATAAAAATCCAAAGTCTGATTAAGTTGAGCTATTAATTCCAGTAACATAATCGTGTGAATTTAGGAGACACAATCAAATACATTAAGATATTTTAAGACTCTAATTTTGAATGGGTAAATAGTTACTCGAGAATATTAACGAGACGTTTCCGGAAACGTAACTTTCCTTGTAATTGAATATCGATCTTCCCAGAGCATTATAGCGCGATACAAGAATTAGCATTCCAAGGGAAACCGTCGGGAAACGAGGCAGTTTTACAGAGAATAAATGAACCACGGGGTGTACAGATAGTATTCGGGTCTCCGTCTTCACGCCCTCTAATTACCCCATAGACGCGGCAGACCCTTCAATGAGAGGCCATAAATTTTGCTCGCGTTTGAAAACAACCCTGGGAGAAAAGTGATACGGCACGACAGACAGAAAAAGCCTTTTGTGACTCTGGACGATGCGTCTCTGAAAATTGCCAACTGCAGGAACGCGTTGTTCGATAAAGACGCTTGATCTCGCCAGATAATTGTTGAATTAAAATGCCGTGTTTACATTTGCGACGATTCGTTTCACAACCGATAAACGTTACATTGCTTCATTACGGTGACATTAATATGAAAGATATTTACATCTGAAAACGGTGGCAATATCGACGCATCGTGATCGCAATAAATCACAATGAATATCAAGCCTGTCTATCCTTCTGATGTTTATCGCGGCAATGATACAGATGCATTCCGGTGCAATCAAGTATCTTCGGCGTACGCCTGTATTCACGATCGCTTACGTGCGTCCCGAGATCGTGTAACACACCGATCCCTACAATAAGTTCGAGTTAATGATAACGTGTCGATCGCTGTCTGATTTGTGCGATCTGCCCTGCATAGATCGCTTCTGCAATCACTTATTGCACACTTAGCTACGATAGTTCACACGCGTGCCGTTAGAAGCCCGATAAGTCGTGCGACAGTATTTTTTGATGTCTTTTAAAAGTACCGAAACGGGGGAGGAGGCAACGTCAGAAAGGACAAAATTGTCCCACGCAGACCAAGATATGGTTGCGTCACAATCGTTATTCCCGACGGCTTTACTTTTTACTCTCTGATATTCAGAATGGAGTTCAAAATTTAAACTTTGTTTAAGGCAGTGGTTCTCTATCTATGGGTGCTATGACTATTTTTATAAAGACTTAGTAAACTTAAAAGCGGATGATACTTACATGAGATGACATGAAAAATGAAACTGTTTCAGATGGAACTAAGCTGGGCTCAAAGTTGAACCTCATCGTGGAGCAGTAACATTGAAGTAAAATTAACACTTTTAATGCAAAATAATTATGTCATCACACGGATACGAAGAAACATCTTTAATATTGTAAATTGTTAAGAGTATAACAATATTAGACATGTCGCAAACCAACACTACTACACTGTATTTGAATAGAATGATTATTAAAATTAACTAATAACACCTGTATATAAAGAGTTAAGTAAAAGAATGTGATTCGGCCAGGTACGAAGCTAACGTAACTAACCCAGCTTAACCCAAAACACAAACAGTTAACGTTGAATCGATGAAAACTTTGAAACCAAAAGGGTGAAACTTCACTTCCTATCCCCATTTGCGCACGACAAACGCGTTGTTTATCATCCTTCCGGCTAGGGGTTTTTACACAGCACGCGACACACATCATGGAGGGTAATAATACTGTCCCGACGAATCGGTTGAGTAGGTGTGCGACGATAAAGCGAAATTATTTATCACCGTGGCAAACGAACGTCGGTAGACGTTGATGGCTCTATATTTGCTCACAGAAGACTTTAATCTACGACGAAATAATCCACGATCCTGTATCGATAAATTTTCCTACGCGTGTATCTCGCTTGTACCGGCCAACACGCCGAAGAGCACTTGCCGGCTAGCGCGAAGTGAGTCAACGACTTTCGATCCGCGAGTAGGTACATAGAAGAACCTGTTCCGTGCTAGTGCGAGCCGATCAATTGCCTCTTCCCATTCCTACGATTCCTCCTACGTTCGCTTGCATTCCAACGAATCGTCGGCTCGATTCGTACCTCATAAGCGAACGATTAAATCTTAGCGAAGGAAAACGCAAAGCGCCGCTTTTCCCGCCGAGCGAGGCACCGGAGAAACGTAGGACGATTCGACGGCAATAAATCTCCTGGCCGTTATCGAAAGACGCACGGACGATTCGAGAACGTACGAGCAAAACGAAGCGGAAAGGTCTTTCCTTCTCTCCTCTGGTCGAATCGTTAGATGGAACGTGGACCATCGTCTCTCTCCGCGCGTATTAAAAACTCTGTCGAAGATGATACTTTATAGGGGACGTAAACAACGAGGTACGTTCAATAAAATCCTGTTTCTTGTATAAGCACGCGTCCGCGTCACGAAAGCTCGTAAAATAATCCCTACACCTTTTGTATGCACACAGGGAGATAGAGGGAGAAGAGCTCGCGTGGTCGAGCGGTAAGAAAAAATATATGTGGACCTTAAACCGGACCGAAGGGCGCGACAAGGAGGCTAAAGAAGAGGTGCTCAAAGGAAAGGGATAAGGCAGAGAAGGAGAGAAAAAAGAAGGAAGACGAAGCGAAGGAGTCCGAAAGACCTAGAATTTGGTAGAGAGAAGAGGCGGCGACCTCTAAGCGAGACAGAATTCGGGAGGCCTCGGGTGATTATATATCCGCGTACGATAAAGCGAGAGACTGCCAGGCAACCTCTCGCCACGAGCAACAAAGACATCGCTAGAAACAGCTGACTACCGGAATTCGGGGTTCCGGAGGGGTGAGTACGACGAGGAAGGCACTTGAACCCCAATTGGACGAGGGCTTCCCCATTATACTCGACGTGCCCAACGATTTTACACGCACTTGACTCCATTCTACCTATCCACCAGACGTAACATTATCGCGACTGCATGACCCGGTTTTCCACGACCCGACGCTTTTAACAATCAAATGTCCCGTATACGTTTCTACTCCATCGAAGCAAAGAATGTTTAGGTATAAACATTAGGTATTAACGGACAATTTTTCCTCCTTTTTTAGCCCGACGAATAACTGGTAGTTTCCAGATTTTAGCTCGCAAGATATTTATTTAGCTCGCCTCGACACTACGGATCACGTACAAGGGTCAACGACGAGAATTAAAAGCTAGAGATCGGTGCGAAACGCGAACGAAATTAATTTTAGCAGGACGATTTCTCGATTGTGAAACAGAGGCGGGGCTTTTTTTAACAACGACGACTGGAGAAAGCATCGCGCTCGAAAGAGGTGCACACGGACACGGTTGCACGCGTATTAACGATAACTCGAGGTGTCACTTTGCGCGTCGCTTTCACACGGCCAGGTTAGTTATTACCAACCCCCGGCACGCGGTGCATTCATTCGCGCAGAAGGCAACGGAATATTTTTACTCCGCCGGCCGACTATAAATCCGTTATCTCGGCTACGCTTCGTGACGGATACGTCGTATTTCAATCGACGCACAAATAGACTCGACAAAAAATTACAACCAGTTTCGACATAACACAACGTCAACTTACATTCGACGATTCTGTATACAGAGCCTGTTGTCTTCCATTTTTCAGAGCGGAACTAAGGGAGAAATGATTTGTTTGGATCGTGGCTAGCGCGATCAACGGGGCGCAGAAAGAATCTACCGTGTAAATAGAACGGGAAGAGAGTGGTGCGCGAAGAGGAGAGCGAGGAGAAAAAAAATGTGTTTTCAAGCAGCAGCGGTCGACGTGATCCGTACGTTGACCGTGAAACGCAACGTCGAACGATTTAGCCCCGGCGTAGCGAGAGGAGCCGGGTTAACTCGATCTACCACGCCTTTCCCGACCACGTGGCCTTACTACCGGACTGCTCTCTCTCTCCCCTAAGCATCGTCGCTTCTATATTTCATCACGGCTGTTATGATAATCGCTGTACGCGAGGGAGAGAGAGACAGAGGAAGCGATCTTATGAATGTAAACTCACCTGCTATAGCCATCCAGGGGTAGAAGGTATGGCTGCCGGTAGGTTGCTGATGTAGTTGCGTGGCAACCGGTTGGCTCGCGGACGAGTTCAAACTGCAGGTGTTCCAGGACGACGTGAGGGACCTCGAGGAACTGTTGTTACCAGGACTCGATGCCGGGTCGCCGCCTACGAGACCACCGTAGCTACCAACCCTCGTACCTTCTGGGGTACACGCGGAAGGACGTACGACCGAACTATTCTGGCTGTTCGCCCCCGAGGTCGCTGACTGCCAAACGTCCTTGACGGCCGCGGCTGCCATCACGGCAGCGTACCCATT